GCTTTTCCTTGAGCCTGGGACCTACATTCTGCCATTTTCACCGGGCCAATTCCTCCATATCATTCAAGATTCAGCTCAGTTGTCACCCTTCAAGGAAGCACGCCTGGACCTCACCTCTGTGTTTTCACAACTCCCCTAGCAGTCATTATATTATATTGTTATTTCCTGTTTATGTGGTCAATTCCCCCTCCTTCAGCCACTCCAGCCTTCACGCCCATCTTGAACCAAAGGTGGGAAATATATTCTATTCATTTTTGTGTCTGAACAGAGTAAAAGCTCAATAAATGTTGAACTAAATAATTAATCATCTAACATGTGCCTGCCATGTGTCCAGCACTGTGGTAGGTGCTAAAGGGTAATTATGGGGCTCGTGAATTGAGTCAGGCAGGAACTCAAGGAGAGAGATGAAAGGGGCCCACCCAGCTGAGGAAGGCTTCTCCCCATGACCCAGCACCTGTGCTTTTGGCCTTAGCCAGGAAATGTTGATACTTGTTCTCCAGAGCTCACCAACCATGTTTATTCTAACACATTAAAAATAACTCCAGGGGGAGAGTGATAGACACCTGCTCTGAAGAGGCAGGTAAGAGCGCTGCTATGTGCTAAGGCCCGTCTCTGGATCAGGAAGTATGAGATGTGCCAAGAATACCAAGAACAGGAAAACATGGGCTCTTCCTATGAGGAGCTCCTGGACAAGAGTGTGGGGAGAAGGGCATGGATGAACTTTCACGTGAGCAAACATGATATACAGTGACATTACTGCCAACATACGTGTACCTTACAGTGGTACCCCAGGGAAGGGACTTGTTGATGACTTCTCGCTGCAGGGGGAGAATCAAGGAAGGCTTCTTATAGGAGGGCATCATTAAATTGGGGTGAGTTAATGAGTTAAATGAGCAAAGGCAAAGAGACTTGAAACAGCATGGTGCATTTTGGAAATTGTTAAGTCCTTGGGTAGTCATGTGATTGTTATGTACCTGCTGGCGTGTGTGACTCTCCCTCTAATCCAGGAGCCTCTGAGGGGAGTGGCTGGACCTCCGTCATTGCAATAGCCCCAGTGGCTAGCAAATGACTGGCACATGCTGGAGACTCAGTAAGTGTTTGCTGAGTGACAGCAGTGTGGGCTGGAACAAGGCGAGAGGGTTAGGATCCCTGAGCACCTTCTGTACCAGGCATCTTGCAAGGCACTGGTCTGGGGGTGGGGTGGGGATGGACCAGGTCAGGCACTGGGATCATAGCTGGCCCACCGAGGAAAAGTAGCTCAGTTGTCAGAGGGGCAGTAGCTGGATGAATGCTTTTCCTTTTGAAGATAAAAACTCACCTAAGTTCTTGATGGAGAAAACTCTTCCAAGGCTGAAAGTAAAGAAGAAAATGGTCATTTTCAAAAATCTACCCTAATCAACTGTGTCTCTGTTTGGTTACAGATCATTAGACACTAGACCAAAAGGT